TCCAGAGCACCCTTCCACGAGGCCCACAGGGCCCCAGGGGTTCGAGGGCACCTTGAGCCCCCCCCCCGCGGTAGCTCTCCCTCTCTGCCTGTTCTGCCGCGCGGGCAGGGGCACGCGGATGTGCACCTGTTCCCGATTGGCAAGGACCCGAAGGCCCGTGTCGCCGTGGGGGGGCTGCCGTCATCGTCGTCGCCGTCGTCGCCGTCGTCGTCGTCGTCGTCGTCGTCGTCGTCGTCGTCGTCGTCGCCGCCGTCGTCGTCGTCGTCGTCGTCGTCGTCGTCGTCGTCGCGGTCGCGGTCGCGGTCGTGGTCGCGGTCGCGGTCGCGGTCGTCGTCGTGGTCGTGGTCGTGGTCGTGGTCGTCGTCGACGTCGACGTTGCGGCGGTTGTTTGGTTCGTGGTGGACGTCGACGCCGTGGTCGTGTTCGTCGTCGACGTTGACCCCCGCGCGTGTGTGTGAGCGCTTGATGGTGATTGTGCTGTGATCGTGGTCGTGGTAAGTGATGATGATGATGATGATGATGATGTGGTGACGATATGCCTTACAAGCGTTTCAAATGAGAGCTCCATGTTGGAACGGAACGGCCTCCATCCGTGTTGCACAGTCTGAAACCTTAGGCCGTAGTGTTTGCCCACTGCCCAACTGCCAGCTTCCAGCCTTGGATAAGCTGGAAGCTTTCAAGACGATTGTCCGCGGCGGTAATTGGAGATCCGCGTTACGGAAACGACCAGGTTTCCACGGTTATAGCAGTTGGCATTTGTCAGGACGAAAGTACGCGCCGCTAAATGGGAACGCCATTTCTTAAACGATTCGCCTCCATGTAGCTTTCACGACGAATGTGCGCGGCGCTAAGGCGAGAACCATATCGTGAACACGACCTGCCTTCATTCTTTGTAACTGTTGGAAGCGTCTACGGCGAATGCGCACGGCGACAAGGCGAGAGTCTGAAAACAGCCCGCCCTCCATCTTTATAGATGTTGGAAGTTCCGAGTTTTTGAATCATGGCTGGTGAGGATGTCTCAGGCAAAACACCCGGCCCGTCCTGTCGACAAATCTGGTGGTGCGACGAGGAGAGTAGACTGGAAAAGGATGGAGGAAGGATGGCGTGTGGGATGAGAATAGGGGAGGGGCGTTGAGTGTGCAGGTGGGAGGGCGAAGTAGGAGGACGAAAAGGAGGAGGAGCAAGAGGGAGACAAGGAGACAGAAGGGGATGATGATGAAGTCGACCGTTTTTAGCGTCATCAGTGTTATCTCTACTTATCTGGAGGGCTTCGCCCTCTGCCGCCGGCCCTGTTCATATTGCTTGCATGGCCACGCTTGGTTGGTAGATGGGTTGGCTTTCTTGTCGGTTGGCTGGCTGGCCACTCGGCTGATTGGCTTGCTGTCCAAGGCTGAGAGTTGGCAGTTGATTTGGGCTGTTCGCTGGCTGGCTGGCTGCGCTCGGGAGCGCGCCCCCGTCATGTTTCGCGAGGATTTGAGGCTTCGGATCTCGCACCCCCCGCTATTTGGGAGGACTCGTGGCCTCGAGCCCCGAGCCGAGTGCTCAGGAAACGACGGGGGGGGCGGGGGCCGAACCGCATCCCCCGAACACGTGTCCAAGTGCCAGTGACTCTGCCATGGCGAGCGGGGGGCCTCCTCCTCCTCCCCCTCCTCCTCCTCCTCTTCCTCCTCCTCCTCCTACCTCCTCCTCCTCCTCCTCCTCCTCCTCCTCCTCCTCCTCCTCCTCCTCTCCTCCTCCTCCTCCTCCTCCTCCCCTCCTCCTCCTCCTCCTCCTCCTCCTCCTCCTCCTCCCCCTCCTTCTCCTCCTCCTTGGCAGCGCTCTGTTGGGGTGGGCTCGTGGCCTCGGGAGGCCAGGCTCGGAGAGCGGGGGGTGCCAGGGGGGCCGCGGTTCCGAGAGGGAGCAGGCCTGTCGCAAGGGACAGAGAGAGGACTGCGTGGCCCCGGGAGCGCGGATCTGTCGAGGGGCACATGCGAACCCTGCCCCTACCCTTAGAAACGGCAGGGCCGTTTTTTTACCGGTTCCGTTTTGCCGTTTTTTCGCCGGTTCCGACGCCGTTTTTTTACCGGTTCCGTCGCCGTTTTTTGACCGGTTCCGGCTCCGGTTCCAATCCGGGAGCCGTTTTTTTACCGTTTCCGGTCGCCGTTTTTTTTGGGGGGGCCGTTTCCATTTTCAAGGGGCATTTTTTGGGAAACGAAAAACGGCCCTGCCGTTTCCGGGGCCCACAAATCCCCTACGGTCGACCCGCATAAGAAGGATGGGCAGCCTTCCCAAGGGTACCCCTGCGTCCTCGCCTCCTCGGCCCATCCTTGGCCACTTTCGCTGGCCGTGCCCCGGTCACAAGGCCTCGGAGTGGGCGTCCAAGGCCACTGCATCCTTATCGCGCGTCCTGGCTGTACGGGTTGACTGTAAGTTACACGGGGTCCTGGCTGGCTTAGGGAGCGCGAGTCTGGAGTAAGTGACGAAAGGTTGTGGCCTCGGGAGCGCCCGTGCGTATGAATTTACCATGCTGTGTGGCCTCGGGGGCGCCACCTTGCTGTAGCTTACGAAGGACTGTCGCTTCGGAAACACATCTATGGAGTAAGTTACACGGGATTGTGGCTAGGAGAGCGCGAGTCTGGAATAATTAACGACAGGTTGCGGCCTCGGGAGCGCTAGCGCGTACTAATTTACCAGGGGGTTGTGGCTTCGGGGGCGCACTTTTGTCGTACTCTGCAAGGGGTTTTGGCCTCTGCAGCGCGAGTGCTCCTCCTCCCCCCCTCCCCCCCCCTTCCTTTAAATGGGTTGTGTCTAGGGGAGCGCGGACCTGGTGTAAGTTCTACGGTACTGTGGCTCAGGAGCACGAATCAGGTGTTCTTTCTTGGAACCCATGGCGTCGGGAGCGCGAGCCTCGCGTAACTTACAAAAGGATGGTTGCTTCGGGAGCGCTAGCCTGGTTGAATCTGCGATCAGGCCTGTTACCTCGGGGGCGCGAATCTGCTGTATGTTTACACGTTCCAGGGCACGCGGTAGTCGGCCGCTGTTTGGCCTCCCCTTCTCGTGCGGTCTTCAATCACTGCAACAGTGAAGCCAGTGCAGACCTTCGGCCACACATGGGAAGAGTTGGTAGCACCAACTCTTCAGTGTTGGTGGTGAACATTATGGTGGTCAAAGCTACTAGCACCAACTACTGACAGAGTCGGTGGTAGATGGGTGGCATCTACCACCGAGTAAGAGGACGCTTCAATCTCTACAATCACTTGGAAGTAGAACTGGTGTATGGAACAGGACAGCCTAGTCCACAGCCTGTTGGCCCCCAAGGGTGCCGACAGATTTCTGTGTCTGTTGCTCGAGCAGCTGGTGTGGTGATTGGATGGTGTATGAGCATTAGTACTGCTTCCACGAGGAAAACGGTGATCATGGTAATGCGGAGGAGGAAGGACGGATGAGAAGGTACGGAGCAGGAGAGGGGGTTGATGGTGTCCACGATGGTGATCATGATGATGATGAGGATGATGATGAGGATGATGATGCTGATTGTGCTGATTATGCTGATGATGCTGATGATGCTGATGATGCTGATGCTGGTGCTGATGCTGATGTGGATGAGGATGATGATGCTGATCTGATGATGATGATGTTGTTGTTGGTGGTGATGACAATGATGATGCTGATACTGATGATGCTGCTGCTGATGATGATGCTGCTGATGATGTTGATGATCATGCTGATGATGCTGATGATGATGCTGACGATGATGCTGATACTTGATAATGCTGATGATGATGATGATGATGATGATGTTGATGGTTATGATGATGATTCTGATGGTGGTGTCGTTGATGATGATTATGGTGCTGCTGCTCCTGCTGATGATGATGCTTATGCTTATAATGATGATGATGATGATGATGATGATGATGATGATGATGATGATGATGATGATGATGATGATGACGATGACGACGATGCTGATGTACGGATGATGATGACGATGACGATGACGATGATTAGGATGATGATGATGATGATGACGATGATGATGATGATGATGATGATGATGATGATTATGTTGTTGTTGGTGATGATGGTGATGGATGATGATGATGATGTTGCTGATGATGATGATGACGCTGACGATGACGATGATAGTCATGATCATGATCATGATCACGAGGTGGAGGAGGAGGAGGAGGAGGAGGAGGAGGAGTAGGACAGTAATGATGATATGTTCGATGAAACTATGGTGATGATGATGATGATGACGATGATGATGATGATGATGATGATGATGATGATGATGATGATGATGATGCTGATGCTGATGCTGATGCTGATGATGATGATGATGATGATGATGATGATGATGATGATGATGATGATGATGATGATGATGATGATGATGATGATGATGATGATGATGATGATGATGATGATGATGATGATGATGATGATGATGATGATGATGATGATGATGATGATGATGATGATGTTGCGGAGGATGATGGTACAACCCCAAGAGGGGGGATGGGGAGGGGAGGATGAGGCGGCTGCGGTGGCGTCCCCGTCGGCAGCTGAGGATGGTTAATGTGCGGGTGGGCGAGCAGGGTTTGGAACCGGCGTGAGGGAAGGTGCTGGCCTGGTCCATCGAGTTCATAGACCTGCTGATATCCATGTTCGAAGAGGGCGCCCCCTCGTGTCAGCAGGCTGCCGAGCAGTGAGCCGTCTGGGCCAGTCTTGCTCCATAGCAGTTGCCTTTCCACGTCCTGCTGCTGCCTATCTGGGAAAGAGCCGAAGGAGGAGGGAGGGAGGGGGCAGGGGGGGGGGATGGTACGGGCGCTGGATTCGAGTGTGCCCCACAAAGGAGCCCTCTCGTGCCCACTGAGGCACGGCGTGCGAGAGAGCCAAGGGCGGGATGTGGAGAGGAGTGGATGGTAGGGAGGAGGGGGAGGAGGAGGAGGAGGAGGAGGAGTGAGGAGGAGGAGGCGGAGGAGGAGGAGGATGAGGATGATGATGAGGAGGAGGCCGAAACTCAGTGCTCCTGTTGTTTTTTGCTGCTCTGACGGATGAAGTTTGTTTTCCCGCACCACCGCTGCGGCCGTGTAGTGCTCGGCAGCACTGCCGCTGCACTGCCCAGCGGGCGCGCCCGCTCAGGCGTTGTACGCTGCCGCGGAGCTCGACCCCCTGCTGCCGCTGCTGCCGCTGCTGCTCCTCTTCCTCCTTGTCGTCCTTCTCGTCGTCCTCTTCCTCCTCCTCCTCCTCCTCCTCCTTCCGTCCCCATCCTAGCCTTGTATGTCCGGGCCCTTCTGTCACCATGCCATGGCCTGGGCCTGCTCCTCCTCCTCTGAGGCGGAGGCGGAGGAGGTGGAGGAGGATGAGGAGGAGGAGGAGGAGGGGGAGGAGGAGGGGGAGGAGGTCGGTCCAACACAACAAGATACCTGTCTGTGTGCCTATCATCAGTTGACTCTTATTTCCCAGAGCCAAGGCAAGAACGGGGTGCGCCACCCTGCTCGCCCGTCCCCTGAAGCGAAGGGGTGCACCCGGCACTGAGACACCAGGCGGCTCAAAGAGCGCAAACGACAGGGCGGATGGAATGGCGGCAGCCAGGACAAGGATAATCAGTACAAGGCAAGCATCGTAATCAACGCAACATGACGCGAAACGAAGACAACATCGTCAGGACTGCCATTGGAAGGCCACGAAGCCCAGGTCTGGAGAACATCCGCTGCACGGCGGCAAAACAGGAGGTGCGAACGACAGCCCAACCAGCAATCAACCGCAGCTGCATTACACGATGTGGACGGCTCCAAGGTTCATCAACGTCAGACCTACCAGAGTCCTGGAAGCCGTCGCCCGCGGATGAGCCAGTCCGGCAAAAGTGGCCGTCACCTGCGCGTGCCTCGGCCCTGAGGTGTCACGGCCTCGGTGCGTCGCCCACCTCTGCGACGCCCCGCAGAGCGAGCCCGTGCAACATAGTGATGTCACGGAGTGCCCTCCTGGAGTGCCCTGAATTCGCGCCCGATCACGAGCGGAGGTCCTGGAGGCCCTGATTCGCAGATAGGCTGACAGACAGACAGACAGAAGCCGTGCACGTCAGAGGTGCGTTGGCAGAAATGGTGAAACGGAGACTATTGGGTGAAACGGCGAGCGTGCGAAGCATGGCAATTAGGGGGAGGAGGAGGAGGAGGAGGAGGAGGAGGAGGAGGAGGAGGAGGAGGAGGAGGAGGAGGAGGAGGAGGAGGAGGAGGAGGAGGAGGAAGAGGAGGTGAAACAAAGGCGTCAAATATAGGAAGCATATTGCTTTGCGACGCGTGGCCAAGCATCACCTTCCTGACGCCAAAGCCTGTGCAAGGCCTCCTGGCTACCAGCTGCCCAAAATGCCAACTAGTTGTGCCAGCCGTGGCCCCGAAATGTCGCGGGCTCGGTGCGTCGCGAGCCCCTGCAGTGCCGCTCGCAACGATACCAACCAGCATGAACGATACCACGGGATGCCCTCCAGGAGTGGTGTCAATATGAACACCAACACAAACGAATGTCCTGTTGGCTCGCGTTATCATGCTCACGCCCATGTTGTGGAACGTACGCGCGAGCCGCCCGTCATACGGGGCCGCCGGCGCTGGCGCGAGCCGCCCATCACGCCGAGCTCCTCCTTCGGGCGACGATAGGCTGGTATCCCTGGGCAGCAGTTGGCCCCCACCATCTGCTCTCGCCCCAGGCCTCGGCGGCGAGTCCAGGGGGCCGAATTAAAGTGTGCCGAATTCAGAAACGGAGGGGCAAACATTGAGTGAACAGATTGCCGGTCTTGAGTTGTGCTGCAGAGGGGTGAGAATTCCAGCGCGTTGCCACTTTTGGCCCAAGCCATTTTTGCATCCGAGCCTCACGTGGAGCAGCCTGCGCTCAAATGCTAGCAGCTCGGGCAGGATTGTCGCAAGTGTACGGAGTGCGCTTGTGGTAAAAAGTGGGTCGTCTTTCTTATCAGTTAGTCTATCCATCAGTTCGTGCACTACTCCAGGTGTGTCGTTTCCACTGTCCCGGGCATCGTCGACGGAGTGGGAACGTATCATTTGTTTGTGCATGGTCTGCACATCTGTGGGGTGATGCCTCCTCTCAGGCGTCCCAGCCGGGAAAGTGACGTATCTTTGATCAGACGTTTATGCGATTCGTTACCTTCGGGGCCGCATGCAGGTGTGACCGACATGGTCAGCTCTATCACGGAGGATTGGCGACAGAAGGTGATCAGGATCCTTGCTGGACGCGACCGGAAGATGTGCCTGTCGTTCCGGCAGGAGCTTGTTCACAAATATTCGCAGTTGAACGGTTGGCTTTTTCCATTTGACATTCGAACTCGAAGGAGGTCTCAATATATTGACCACTTGTGGGCTGCAGTCAACATTTCCTTGTCTACCACTTGGCTGTTCTTGCACCCGCGCTGCAGGCAGGCACGCCATGTGGGTTCGCTATTGCCTCCTGCTCAGAGGGACCTTTTTTGGAATCCGTCGCGCCTCTCGGAAGTGGGACTGCTAGTTGCTGCTGCACGGCAGTTTGTGAATTTTCAGTTCAAGTCTGTAGCGAGTGCTCAGGGTGACAGTGCAATTCTGTACGCTTGGTGTGGCAACGGGTTCATGTACATCGGAGCCGCACGCATGCAGAGACAGACTGTGTCACACAATGGCCCGACGCAGAGATGGCTTGAGCACGCCACGTTGCGCACGCGACAGCACACTCGAGATTCGATATACCTACGGTACAGAGCCTCCCGCCGTATACCCCCACATTGTGCTACTTTCCTCAGCCTTCGGATGGGCCCCACCCGCGACATCTTTCAAGCCGACTCTGTTGCTATAAAAGCGTTGAGGCCCCCACTTAACGCGAGGCCGACAAACCATGGTTGCAAAGGTCTATCAGGCCGACGGCAGCCCAGATTCCGACCTCCACCCGACTTGCGTGTTTCTCGGGATCTCTTGCTGGATGCACGACAGGCTTCAAAACGACCATGCCGTGTGCCAGGTGGACTGTTTGATGCTGCCGGCATGCCGAAGGCAACGACATGGGATGCAACGAACTCTTTGCCATGCTTGTCGCCACCACCGTCAAGCGCAGCAAGAAAAGCATTAGCTACTGCATGGTGGTGGGCACTTTCGTTCACTGAATTGTATTGGATCTTCGTGCGGGTGGAGGGCACAGGGCCACTTGATGTGTACGATGGTGCTCTATGGCCTTTGTGGCTAGTGTGGTTGGCATCTCGTGGTGCTGTCGTCGACTGGAATAGGTTAGCTGCTTCGTGGTCGTGTCCGCTACAGTCAATACTAGTCAAACTGTGGGATGCATGCATGCTTGTACATGGCACTGGTCGGAGACAGACCGCGCGACGAAAGCTGACGCGGGCACTCAGATGGGTACGACTCCCATCCCCTGGCTCCTCGACCATACGGGTCCCCGAGCGTGCAATGATCCCTCTTGCACACCACGGCGTTCGTACAGCCACATTGGTCTCGAAGTGGCCCCCGGATGTTCAGCAATGGATTTGCAGGGTCACTCGCGTCCAGTGTTCCGCTCGCCGCACCTTCTTAAACACATGTGGAACCACTTCGTGGGCACGGAAGGTCCAGGGCAGCGAGCTCCAGGGGTGGACGCTCGACAGAGCCTTTGCCGCAGTTTCAGCGGCAGGAGCTTTCAGACTTCATCAACGCTGCGACGTTCCTTGTCGACCCGATGCTCATGAGCTGCTGGCGGAGGTTATTGAGAGTTGCAATTCATGGGCACGGAGATGGTGTGGAGCACGCGCGGCCAGACAAGTTGTTGCGAGTTGCTGGAAGTGCGAAGGCAAGCCATTGCGTTCGTTTGCGGATCTGTTGGGGCAGTGGCTCAAGTCTGCCTGGCAGTACTCTTACTACACGTCCGCTTTTGTTTTGCCAAATGGGTACGTACCAGTGAGGGACGATACGCATGCCAAGATGATTTGGTTGATGCCTCGTGAGGCCTATGCGTATGCGTTGTTCGCTTTCGTTGTCTGCAGCGATACATGGCGCTTAACAGAAATGACCCGGGAAACGGCCGAACACACGTTGAGGCAAGCATTAGTGAATATCGTGCCAGAGCGATTGCACAGAGTTTTGTCTATAGGTGGTGATGTCCAGAGGTTGCCAGACATGTATATCACTATAAAATCAAAATGTTACGGCCATGGTTCTGGACACGGGCCGAAGACATGCAACAAACGGAACCACTCGTGCTGTAGGAAGGTGGTCTCGTTTGCCCATTGGCCGAAGCGCAACCAATGGCGCAGCATTGGCAGAGCAATTGACACCCTGGTCTCCCGATACTCCGGCGGTTTCGAGGTGTGGAAGCTGAAATCTATTGTGCCGCAGCTCCGGGATGCGATTGCACAATTGCGCCCCGTGGCCGGGGGCCGGCAAACTTGTGTATGTGACGGTTGCGGTGCATGCAAGCCGCCTTTGTGCGGTGTCGTCGCAGATGCGGCCCAAATGTTTGAGTGCATTGGAGAGCAGTTGGTTCTCGACGCTGCGAATGACATGTTCGAGACAGCTTCAAACCAGGAACAGACGGATGCGATCGCGGTGTTGAATTCGACGAAGAGAATGGCGTATATAGGTGGATCACACACGTATCGGTCATCTCGTTCGACAACATACCGTTTCAGTAAACTTCGCGATTGCCTTCGAGCTTGGATGCGCATGAACTTGGTTGCAGTTGGGGATCAGTTTGCTTCTGCCGACGGCGTCCCCATTGGAGGGTTCTTCAGCCGAGCGGCAACTTCTCTAGTGCTATCGATGTGGGAGGGGCGCTGGGCCCATCGATGGGATTCGATTTGTTCTGATAGCGGGTACACGTGTATGAAATGGGCGGAGACAGTTGCTGTTAGAAGGTACGTGGATGATGCTATTTGTGTCTCTCGCCGCCTGTGCCGAGACTGCATAATGAAATGTGTGACAAACATGTACCCAATAAAATTTGAGATGGCTTGTGCAGGCGTCAAGTTACAGTGGCTGGATATCGAGATTGATTTGCAAACGTTGGAACACGACTGGGTGCCTCGGAATGTCGGGACTCCCCCGGCATGGGCTTCAGATTCTAGGTATTTGGTGTCTTATATAATATCAAAACTCTCCCGGTGGCAGGAATTGGATTTAACACCACGGCAATGCTTCAAGCACTCTGCCAAATTATTGGAGGTGCTGGTAAACAGCGGTTGGACTCGGAAGCACCTTCGCCGCGTCTTGTACGCAATCTGTGGGAGGCAACCATCCCCTCCGCTCCGCGTCATGGTGGACATGCTCCGGCTTATCGCGATGAATTGGGAGGGTACGTTTTGAGCCCCATCCAGATATAAAGTGTGCCGAATTCAGAAACGGAGGGGCAAACATTGAGTGAACAGATTGCCGGTCTTGAGTTGTGCTGCAGAGGGGTGAGAATTCCAGCGCGTTGCCACTTTTGGCCCAAGCCATTTTTGCATCCGAGCCTCACGTGGAGCAGCCTGCGCTCAAATGCTAGCAGCTCGGGCAGGATTGTCGCAAGTGTACGGAGTGCGCTTGTGGTAAAAAGTGGGTCGTCTTTCTTATCAGTTAGTCTATCCATCAGTTCGTGCACTACTCCAGGGGGGAAGTCAGACGGGGCGGGCCTTCTCGGAAGCCTCCGAAGTCCCCCAGCCTTCCGAGAAGTTTCCTGGGCACTTCCCGGCATACCTGCGCAGACAAAATTCTCAGAAGGCGCGGGGGCTTCCGAGAAGCGCCGCCGCCTCCTGACAAGGCCTTCTCCTCCTCACTTCCCCCCGCTCGCCGCCGAACATCAGTTGGCGCGCAATGCTGCCCACAGAGATGCGGCCAGCGTGCGGAGGGCGTCGCGCCTGCAGGCGGCGCGCGCCGCCCAGCACCGCGCCGTGGCGCCTGGGTGGCTCGAGGCTTGCGTTTCGTTGTCTGGCAGCTTCTCGTGCGAGTCATCCGCAGCATGGTGTCCCAGAGCTCGCCATCGGGTGACGCAGATGGCTCTGGGCCAGCCGATGTTATGACTCCAGGCTGGAAGGGTTGCAGGCGAAACGCCGGGGTCGACGTGCAGGAGAGGGAAGAGGAGGAGGAGGAGGAGGAGGAGGAGGAGGAGGAGGAGGAGGAGGAGGGAGGAGGAGGAGGAGGAGGAGGAGGAGGAGGAGGAGGAGGAGGAGGAGGAGGAGGAGGAGGAGGGGAGGAGGAGGAGGAGGGAGGAGGAGGAGGGAGGAGGGAGGAGGAGGAGGAGGAGGAAGAGGGATGAGGAGGGATAATGAGGAGGGAGCAGGAGGAGGAGGAGGAGGATGATGGAGGAGGAGGGAGGACGAGGAGGATGAGGAGAAATATGAGGAGGATGAGGACGATGAGGAGGGGGGAGGACGAGGAGGACCAGTGTAACCCCAAGATGTATCGACGATGTCGCAATCAACCTTGCTTTCAAGTACCCTTTTTCATAGGTCCTTGCAAGAATTCAGCTTCATTGCGGGAAGTTGCCCATCAGCAGACAACCTTTTGAGAATTCTCGATCGTGCCAGGCGACTGTTCCAGGGACTTCAGCGCCGCGGATCGACGTGACTGTTACGTCCTCACACTCCTCAATCGTGGCAGAGCGCTGTTCCTGGGACTTTTCGAGCACACGAATGCTTGAACCTGTTGCAGGCCTGTGTGACGAATCTGCGTGACGCTCAGGCGAGAACCACGTGTGGAAACGACCCGCCCTCCATCCTCGAAGCTGCCGCAAACTCTGAAGACGAGTGTGCGCGGCGCTAGGCGAGATTCACATTTTGAACGCCTTCCATCCGTGAAGCTGTTGCATAAAACACACACTGTGGGAAAACACACACACACACAAAACACACAACACTTGTGGGAAGCAAACACACACAGTGTGTGTGTGTGTGTTTTCCCACAGTGTTTTTTTTGTGTGTGTGTGTGTGTTTTTGTCCCACGTGTGTGTTTTCCCACAGACTTATCAAGGAGAACGAACGCGGCGCTAGGGCGAAAGCCACATTTCGAAAAGGGCCCGCCCTCCATTCGTGAAGCTGTGGCGAACTCGAAGCTCCAGAATCAGAAGTGACGAGGAAGTCTCAGGCGAAACGCTCGGCCCGCCCTACAGACACGTCTGGGCAGGTGCTGTTGTTAAGGAAAAGGGGATGGAGGATGAGGAGGGAGGAGGGAGTAAGGACGGAGGGAGGAGGCAAGAGAGAGAGAGAGAGAGGCGGTAGGAGGGAGGAGGGAGGAGGAGGGAGGGTGAGGGAGGGAGGAGGATGAGGAGGGGGAGGAGGAGGAGCCGTAGCCACGTTGGCTCAAGCCGTCTATTGTTCAAGCCAGCCAGGTCCCCGACGGAGCTATTGTAACCGGAGGTGCGCCGCAGTGGAAGATGGCGCGGGCGTCCGCCGACCCTCTGGGGGGACAGATCGGATACGCGGGGCAGGAGCCCGCAACGGGCCGCAGATCGGCGTGCCGCTCAGAGTTGGCCGGGCGGCCGTGTCAGCTGGGCGGGCCCCGTCAGCGACGCCGTGGGCGACTCCGTCGGCCCCGTCAGCGACGCCGAGGATGACTTCTTCGGCCCCCTCGTCGGCCCCATTCAGCGACGCCGAGATGGGCGAGGTCAAGCGGGGGGAGGGGGAAGTGTGGCGGCACGACCCAAAACAACAAGGAAATAGCTGCCGCTGCTGCCCCCCTCCCCTGGCCGATGCGAGCCCCTCGCGGCCTCCTTCGCCAAGCCCGTCGAGCAGCAGGCCGTCTCCCGAGCTGCAGCCGCAGACGTGGCTGACGCAGCCGCAGCAGCAGCCGCAGCAACGGCAGCTAGAGCCCAGCCCAGAGCCGGCGGCCCCAGACGAGGAAGTCGGCGCCTTTTCTTGTCTGCGAGCCGACCTCAGAAGGGGCATCGATCGCGAGTCCCTCGCGGCCTCCTGCGCCGAGCTCGTCGAGCAGCGGACAGTCTCCTGTGATGCAGCCGCAGACGCAGCGAACGCAGCCGCAGCAGCAGCCGCAGCAGCGGCAGCTGGACTCCCGCCCAGAGCCGGCGGCCCTGGGCGAGGCCCTCGGTGCCCTTCCTTGTCTGCGAGCCGACCTCCACAGGGCACCGAGCGTCAACGGCCCGAGCCCGCGCGACGCACGCCCCCTGGCTGCTCCTCTGGCGGCGTCGGCGGGCCGCGGGACGCCCCGAACCCGCCTCGAGGCGCTGCGCCTGGCACGGCCCCTCGGCCCGGCGCCCAGCGGGCAGGCGGAGGAGGTCCTAGGGATGGTGCGGAGCTGGGGCCGATGCCTCTCGCAGCAGGGCGCGGCCGCGGGTGATCGGGGGCCGCGTCGGGCAGGGCCTAAGGCCTGGCGCGGGCCGCGCGCCCTCTCCGAGGGCGCCTCGGCAGGCTCCTCCACGGCGCGGCCGCCGAGGCGCGGGGCGTGGCAGCGCCCCTGGACAAGAGGCAAAGATCGGGCGCTTCGCCCGAACCCCTGTCTGGACTCTCGACAGGCGCTCCGCTTCTCTTAGGCTTGTTGCCTCCGTCTGCCCGTTTTCCCCAATTTGTTCTGCATGTTGCATGTGCGGTCGGCTGTCGACAGTGACAGCTGGGTTCGCAAATTGTCTGGCTCTGTGCCCCAGTCAGCCCGATTGACACGCCCTCTGGACTCTTCCTTGCGGGCCGCAGATAAAAAAACCCTGTCTGCTTCGGCGTGGTGGTGCCGAGGATTGCCGCGGACGCGGTCCAGCTCTCCGAGGAGGGCCTCTCTGCCTGCCTGCCGTGGTCCTGGACTGCGTCACCCCGCCGTGCCTCGTGCTTCGTCTCTGACTTCGGCTTCCTCCTGGCCTGGTTCGGGATTCGTGAGCCGCGCCCCGAGGGCTGATAGGAGCGCCAGCTATCCCAGCGCAGGAATTGGCCCATTCCTGTGGTTGCTTATTTCGCGCATTCATCCTCTTCCCCCTTCTTCTTTGGGGGCTTCTCGTCCGCGCATCGCTGACCCTATGGTGCTGCTCCCGCGGTCCGCCGACGTGCATTGCATAACGTAGCCTCTCTTGTTCCTGTCCACCCGTCCGCTGTACACTGGCCTGATTTTAGTCCAGTTTGCCTCGCTAGTAGGTGCGCGCTCTGCTCCGTACCATTTTGGCCAGGTGTCTCGACGTCTCGTTGGTGGTGCTTCGAGTCCGTGCAACGCGGTCGTGCCCCCATGGCAGTGCTGGGGCCAACGCTTCAGAGGTGACTAGCGAAGCTTTGGGAGAGGCGAGAGGGACAAAACATAACGAGTGATAGCGGACACAAAACGAAAACGGAAACCACTGTTTAGCCCGAGCCTTGGAGCGTGCGTGCCAGGCTTTGGTCCACCATGCTCATGAGTTTTGGAGAAGCCGAGGAGAGCTTACGGGATGCTCGCGGGATGCCCTCGGGATGCCCAGTAATCGGGGGTCAGCGGCCTACGAACATCCTCCACCCGTTTTGATCATACGATCCCAAAGGCCACCAATGATTTGACGGCATTCCACGAGGCGCCCGAGGAACAGTGGCGTGTGCTGACGTCATCTTCGTCGTCGTCGTCGTTCCCTCCGTCGTCGGCGTCGTTGCCCTCGTCAGCCTCCTCCCCACCGCCACCATCAGAATCGCCACCGTCACTGGCATCCAGTGCCAATGGCTGTTCGTCGTCTCATGCCGACAGTTGGAGGGTCTGATTGTGCAAGCGTGCATGGGTGATCTGACCCACTTGCAGCTCGAATCGAAGGACATGGGTGTCGAAGCAGTTTCCTGTTACCTCTCCTTCCCTCCTCGTGGAGACGACTCGGTAGGAGAACGGCTGCCGCCGTTGTTGTAGCCGCCTGCCAGTCGAGGCACGAACCCTGGCTGGCAGGCGTAGCATCTCGCATGGCTGGTTGTCGCTGGCGGAACTGCAGTGCTGCAGCTCTGCGCATCATCGGCCCCTTCTGCCCGTTCTGCCAGGAATCCCAGCCTCCGCTCTTCTCCATTCCTCCCTCCTCCCCTCGCTTCCTCCCTCCCTTTTTTTCCTTCACTCGCCTCCACCTCTCTCTCTCTCTCTC